ATGCGCCCGCTCAGAACTGAGAGATATGGCTTCCAGGTACGAGTTCACTTTCAACTGGCTATGGCGACTGAGCGCCCAAACAAATCACTGTTCGCACACTGGATCACCCTGGATATCCCACACACGTCACTCTGAACACCCACGCATGCACACACACTCTTCCCACTAACTACAGCTATGGCAGCTATGGCTGCCTCTAACCTATCGCTATGCTAACTCCTTCTCTCTCGCCCACTGCGTCCTCTGGGCTCACTGCAGACCTCCTTGCACAAGTCGCTGTGGCAGCGCCGCATGGCTCACGCCGGAATGAATGAATGGCTGGGCGCTGCCTCCTGATTTATACTTCTGCAGGCCGCTGGTCTGGCCCATTTCCCTTGCCCAAACTGCACACAGTCCCGTGCGGTACTTGCTGGACTGACTGGGAACGGGGACTGTTGACTCGGCAGGGTAGACTTCTACCACTTGCCCACTTGCCTCACCACTTGACCACTTGCCTCTGCTTAAACGTGGGCAACTTCTTAAGGCCACTACTGGGACCTTCCGGAAGGCCGTAGACTTGGCCTTTCGTGACTGTAGCAGCTACGATTCTGACCCTTCAGGACTGTAGCAGCTACCACCTTGACCTTTCAAGAAAACTACAGCTACGACCACTAGACCTGACTAGGACTCCTATCCGACAGGTCTACGGATCGAACCCATGCTGCCTACGAACCCTATGACAACCTATTGACTGTTGGAAATACACAGATCGTGGGTTCAACTCTACGGGATGACACAGGTACTGTACATGGGTGAGGCGAGGTCTAGGGATCAAACCCTGGGTACTGTATCTGCTACTGCTACAAGGTGAAAACCGTTTCATGTGTGTGTGTGTGTCTTGTGTGTGTGTGTGTGCGTCCGTGGTGGGTGGCAGGGGGGTCGGGCGACCCCTCCCACACCAATCAATCAATCAATCAATCAATCAATCAATCAACAATAAAGAAAAAAAGAAAAATCAAATGAATCTTCCACTAGAACATGGAAATATACAATACTGTGTGTGTGTGTGTGTGTGTGGGGGGG